TTTATGTAAATCAAAAAGAGCAAAGGTCCTAATACTGAGCCCTGAGGTACCCCACTTATAACATTAATCCAGTTTGACTGAACTCTATTTGTAACAACACTACTTTCTTCCATCCATGTTAAAAGATTTGTAAGGCAAGATTTTCCCTTAGTGAAACCATGTTGACTATCCAATAAAATTTTAAACTTTGTTAAATGACTTTGCAAAGTATCTTTCAACAGACTTTCCAAAACTTTTCCCACAACTGATGTAAGACTAATGGGTCTATAATTACTGGGACAGTTTTTATCACCTTCCTTGAAAATAGGAGTTACATTGGCTAACTTCTAATTCTCTGGTATCTGCCCACTATTCAAGGACTGACAAAAAATAGTAATAAGTGGCTCATATATCCAATCGTTACCCTCTTTCAAAACTCTTGTGGAAATATTATGTGGCCCAGAAGCCTTATCGTTTTGTAAACTTTCCAATTTTTCGAAACCAGCTCAGAATTAATGCAGACATCTAGTTCAATCTTGTTTCCATCTATCAACTGTTCAAGATGGTGAATACTGCTTAAATCTTCATTACTAAAAACTGAAGAAAATGGTTTCTACTTATAAAGATCAGAATGGAATGTTTCATCAGATTGTCAGCCCTAAATTCAAGTTATAAACTAGTAATGTAAAGCAATCTCTATAATAAAAGTGTAATCATAAAAAAATAATTCAAAATAAAAAGTAATGAAATTCTATATACTAATTAGTTTAACCTGTTTTAATAATGAAAGCAGCAATAAATAAACAACATCCTTTCCTTAGGGAACACAAACCCTAGTTGTCTTTGTAATAAAAGTTTTTTTGGGAAAAAGTTTAATCTTGGTTTCTCTAGTACATTGGCAAAGGAGACTCAGCCTCCCTACTATACAGTATCGGAGGTTGTTCCCATCTGTGGCAATTCACGACATATATTTCGGTTTAAAGCCTGGCGAGTCCGTAACCTCATCTTTCCCATGGTACAAGTTCAAACCAATGTTTATGAAGATATAAAACAATAAATGACCAAATAAAATAATACCTGATACGCCTATTATAATACAACAATGTTAAATATAATAAGAAAAACAGCTAGCCAAACTTACTATGTTTAAAAACTTCTACCATCAGTTGTATTTAACTTTCACCAATGACAAACACAGCTGACTTACAGGACACAATAAATAATACTCGGTATACTTTACAAGTTGATAGGAAACACCATAAGCCTGTAGAAAGAAAAATGCTTTATAACAATAGTAATACATAGTATGTGAAGATACATGAGGCATTAATATAACAAAGAAAGTAATTATACAAACTAACTTAATGAAACAAATGATGCAATGTCAAACTACATACAGAACTTTTATATACTTAGTGTTACTGTATATTGTAATAAATTGAATTAATGGTAGGTAAAACCAATGGTAAGTATTACCCAAAATAATATCTGTAGAAATCAAAGACATGAAAGGTTGTGATACTTTGTAAAACTTCTAAACTTATAATCTTTAGCAAGAATATGGTTGAAGTCAGCATATTGCACTTTTACAACATAAATTTGTGTGATAACTTCCTTGAAGATGTTTGCATTTAACAACAAACTATAACTTCAATGAGAAAATACAGTGTTATTTTTTTACTGTTATCAACATGATTAGATTTTATTAAAAAAGTTGTATCAGTAACAAATTAAAGCTCTCTAATCTTACTTTATCATGTAAAAATATTTAAAACTTTGAACATTATAGTGATGTGTAGGATGTGAGTCCAGTCTGTTGTATATGTTCTGATTTCTTGTGAGACTAGCACAGAAAGTTGTTGTTATTTGTAGTTTCTTGCATATAGGGTTCAGTAAATATAGATGTATGAGTTCCAAAATGTCTCATCTCATTTAGTTTACAAGCAGTAAAAACATTATTGAATTGGAAGAACTTTAGAGTAAAGGAAGTAGCTGACATTGCAAAACCTTAGTGATCACTAGTGACCATTCTCCAACTTTATTTAATGGTTGGGCCAGTTACTTTTCCACATGAGTCAATAGTAGACAAAACAGAGAAATAAGAGCCGGCATTGTAGTTCCCGATTGAGGACACACCAACTCGTATGTTCACACCGATGCAATAATAGTAACACTATTAATACTAATAATGATAATAGTAATGTTATATTTTTTGTACACAGATTAACATTTTGTAAGCTAGTAATAAAGTAAGTGATAAAACAATAAAACACAATGTTAAAAGAACAAAATGTGGTAGAGTATCACCCAGAACAACAGCATAGTAAAGCATGCAGCCATTTTTTTTAACATTGTTTACATTGCTTTTATCCAAAGCTCTTATTACAGTAAGGTATTTAAATAGTCTTTGTAAACCACAAATACACCAAGTCATTAAAGCTAGGGCATAAGAGTCATCAGTCGAGAAAAGCGTATTAAAACTGATTGAATTATATTGAATTTGAATAGCTTTCCTCTTTGTAAAGTATTTGTTTCATTTAATTTTATCTATTATAGCTGATATTCACTTTTGACTTAGTATTTTACAGCAAAATAATTTCTATTTCCTTATAATCTTTTATATATTTCACTTTATTTCTTCAGTGATGTTACTAGTTTCTAACATATATAAAGAGATGTCTTATACATACAATTGAAACTTTACTGCATATTCTTGTGAATGTCTTTTTATAGGTGTTGCTTACCATTATGAATACTTGCCAACTTTACATGGGGTAGGTTTTGTGTGACTCATGGCAAATCAAACAATTTATGAGCATGTGAACAATCACGTTTGGTTTAGAATGATAAAAACGTCTTATTTGTATAATAAGTTTTCATTGGCCAAAAAGAAAGTGAAGCCCGATTTCCGGTATGAATCACGTGTTTACTCAACTGGTTTCGCTATAGAGAGCAAAAGATTGGCTGACATTTACCAGGGAATTTTTGATGTATGAAAAAGTTAATTACAGTAATTCAAATTGGTAGATTTCCCAAAAAAATCGGTATACATGTCTAAAATCGGTAGAAATGATCAATTTTTTAAACCCAATAGGTAGATCAGGTCAAAGGTCCAAATTCGGGAAACTCCCACCCAAATTGTGAGAGTTGGCAAGTATGATTATGCAGAAATTTTACATAGTTGTAAGGTTTCTTTGGTAATGGCAGTTTCTCAAAAATTATGAGAGGCAGTGAGTATCAAACTAATCTCGATTTATTCTCAGTTGTTTTCATAACTATACAAATGAAGTGTAAGCAATATCACAGGTATCTCTTCAACCCTCCCCACCTCCCACCATGTACACATACTTATTAGTTATTACAGTTTTGATGCTTAAACGAAGGTTACCACTGTACCAGAGAATACCAAATTAGTGTACATATACTATGATTGACAATTGTGGGAAATACAGTGAAATCCCGATTTTATGCTCCCCGATTTAATGCCAATTCAGATATAACGCGATGGGTCATTAACTCTTTCGACGCGGGCTTGGTACCTGGGACCGACCTCGTAACCATAACCTCGTTATAGTTTACATACTAGTAACTTTAATATTTTAAGTGTATCTTTACAAAATTTTGTAGACTTATAGTAAACATTAGAAGTCTTTTGCACACAAAAAATCAGATTTTTTAATAAAGTATTTTTACTTAAATTTGTCCTTGAAAATATCGATTCTTATTTTTTAACTAGTCTGAGTGCAAAATGATTTTCATGTCAAAATTAAATATACTTTTCATCATCTAAAAAATTTCAAATTTCCTTTGTGTAATCCCTAAAACCTCCTAGATGCATTTCAAACGTTTTTTTTTTCACTAAATCCTTCAACAATGCTTGAAGCCTATCTGAAAAGCCTGAACATGAAGGAAGTTTGCCTCTTAGGTGGGAAGGCCTGGGCAGCAGTCAACTCATCGTGTGTAGAGAAATGATGGGAGAAGGGTCTGGGGCTAGCCTTTTCATCATTGCAATCCATCACGGAAGATGATGATGACGAGACATATTTGTACGGCTTCACAGAGGAAGATGTGCATGAGGCAAAAAAGCTGTCTGAATTGAGCAAGGAAGAGCTACACTAGTGGCACTCTGTTGACGATGATTGCCCAACATGTGAGCACTTGATGGACGCCGAGATTGTCTGTAATGTAACTATAGTATCAACAGAGGCAAGTGTACTGGTTCTCGAGCCACAAGAAGAGGATAATGAAGAGCCTCCATCACCACCATCAAAAGTGTCTGAAGCCATTGAACACCTCTAGGCTAGCCTTCGTTGGCTGGAGACTCAGGAGGTGGACCACGTAAAAATTCTCCAACTCAGAAGCATTCTAGATTTTGCTCACAGCCAGAGATGTGCTACATTCAAGCAAGGAACACTTGATCAGATTTTTAAGAAATAAACTGCAAATGGTGATTGCTAATACTCTTGAATGTTTTTATTTGTTGTTTTGTTTATTAAAAAGCCTATTAAAAATAATTTGTGTTTTACTTTCTACTGTAACAACCATTCATTTGCAAAATTCTTTAATTCAGAGGTAATTTATTTGCCAGAAAGGGAACATGTAAAAAACTAGTCAAAGAGAGTGAAAATAGAGGTGTTTTAGGATGTTAGGTCAACATTGGGTCAGTTTGAACAGTGATTTTCTTGAACCCCTATTTAGCGCGACCCTGCGTATTTCACAATATTTTATGGACCTCAATGATCGCTTTATAATGGGCTACACTGAATTAAATTAGTTTCTTCCTTTGATTCCAAACATTTTGATAGGTCTGAGAAATGACTTTTCCAACAACTAACTGTGTGCTTTACATAGCACCACATATTACAGTATTCATCTACAGTATTTCTTGTTTGAGTGTATGCTTCAGTGTTATTCATTATATTGCTACAGAAAATATTCTGGCTAAACACTGGTATTATCCTTATGCAGTTAGTTGCATTTTTTTTTATGTGAATGAAAATGTTTATTTGTTTTAAATACAGATCTGGTAATGGCTGATGCAGGGAATACTCATGTTAGTGATTATGACTATCTTATAAAGTTTCTTACACTTGGAGACTCTGGAGTTGGAAAGACAAGTTTTTTGTATCAATATACTGATGGAACCTTTCATAGCAAGTTCATCTCAACAGTAGGGATTGACTTCCGAGAGAAGAGAGTGGTAAGAATTACTCAAGTGTTATATGTCTGGCTCAGAACACTTCATTTAAAGATTAACTTTGGTTGTTGTAATTTCATTTTACACTGCACAATGGAAACATTACAATATTTACTCTGATTTACTCACAAAAACTGTCTGTGAATTGTGTAAACTTCAGATAACATGCCTTCATTTTGTATACTCAAGTAGAGAGCTACAAGTTCAACTTTTAATGTTATTCTTATTCTTTTATCTGTAAAGATACAGTGTAGAGAGCTACAAGTTCAACTTTTACTGTCATTCTAATTCTTTTTTTTTTCACTAAAAAAATTACAATTCAGCCTAATTACTCACCTTTCCAACAAACAGCTGGCTCTTTGGCACCACTAGCATAAATATTTGTGTGCATGCGACAAGCATTTGTAAAAGCTCTCAAATCCTATGTATAATAATCTGAACTGCATTAGTCTATGTTGTATTGAGCATTAGATTACATTTCTCCATCAATTGGACTGTGACACATCCTTCTTGCACATTACTCTCCTTGAGCATTTTGTGTCAACCAAAAGATCATTATTTTTCTTGACACTGCATTGCTTAGGTATATGAATTTCTTAGGCATTTGGTCAAAGAAACTATCTTTTGCATTGTCCCTAACTTTAAATTGAAGATAATTTCTGTTAAAGCTTCTAATAATGATTATTATCTTTCTCATAATCATTCTTTACATTACCAATCCACAAGATTTATGAGAAGTGTTTCAAAAGATTGTGATATGATTGCCTACTCTTCTCAGACAACCACCCTTGTGATTTATCAACACTGGTTCAATCACCACTTCCTTCCTTCAGGTCATCCACATTTTTTTTTATCACTTCCTTTTGTACATAACTTTCCAATGCTCTGGTCAGTTCAATGGCCCTGTGACACTGTTTTCTGTCATGTCTGTCTGGACATCTTAATGTGATCCATTCAAATAGCTCCACTGTCCTTTCTTGCATCAATTGATGCCTGTTTTTGGTATTTTTAGATAACTCAATTTTCCATAATGTTTCATTACAAATTGCCATCTTAGAGCAAGAAAAACCTTGTTCCACGAAGACAAAGAAAGACCAACCAACAATAATATTAAATCATTTTATATTGGCTACAGCACAAAAATAGAGAGTTGAAAAAATATTAAAGTAGAAAACTTTAGAATTACAAACAGGTATCCATTGAAAATACCCTAACCTCAAATAAAACATCATTTGAAGATAAAAACAAGGAGCTCCTATTATAGCATGCCGATCTTGCAAGGAAGGTTATATAAGTGAAACTGTAAGAAGTGTTAACACACAAATATTTTTGAACATAAAAAAACATTAAATATGGAAACACAATGTTTTCATTATTTGATTTGATCAGTAGGGGATTACTGCATATCTTAAAAACAAGCATAATGGTGATAGCATGGTCGTATTGCCATTAGCAATTTTTCAACTAGGAAATGTTAAGATTATCTTTTAAAAAAATTTGTTCCAAAATTTTTTTTCACAAAATGTGCATGTGACAACTGCCATATTAGATAAAGATAGTTCAAAAATGACTTTAAAAAAACCAAAACTAGCTGAAAAGAGGAAGATAAATCTCATGTGAGGATAATTAATTAGTTTAATGTAATCAGTTAATGAGCCCAACAGTTAATTAACAGCAAATTCCACTAGTTGCCCAGTTCTACTACTAATGATAATAATCAGGTTTCACAGGGTTTACACTTTTGAAAACCATTTACACAAAATAAAATGATTATGCATTAAACTTCAGTACAATAAATGATTTGAAATCATAATTGGATCAGTGAAGATTCAGTGAAAGTACATTTTGAATATAAATTTGTTTTCTTGCTCTAGGGCCAAAGTTTTGATGAGCACTTTTTTAACCATTAAGATATATATTTGTTGGAATGAGATTATATATGTAACATTAAATAGTTTTCATAGATAACATATTGATGAAAGGGCTATAACTTCAGGTATATTTGATTCTTGTTGTATTTTGTTTGTATGTCATTTTGATATACAAGTAGAACATTTCAGTACACACAAAGTCACGTACTTGTAGTTAGGAATAATTGCATGAGATTTTCATGTACAGTAGTGTCAAAATAAATGGCATACTTTTCATTTATTTCACTTTGTACCACCCTTCTTGTGGTTTGGAATTACCAATAACGTTTTGATATTTCAAATGTTTTTTTTTGTTTTTTTAATGCACAGCTGAAATTTAGTAACAGAAACAAAGTGTTACAGAACATACTTTCTTCAGTTATAATGCACTAAGAGTATTAATTAATAATTTTTTTTTTCCTACGACATTTTATACTAAAACCTATGTTTTCTCAACTGTTTGTATTTAAGCATTATCAAAAATATTACTACTGTACAGTAGATTAAGCATAGCATCTTATTGTAACTTTTATTTTGATTCCATAAGACCCTATTGTCATGCAGCTGTAATCAACATCTCACCAGTTTAAGATTATATTGTCAGGTAAAAAAAATTGATTGAATTATTTTCTTAAGCTTTAAGTTTAAAATTAATACAACCTGGGTTTTTATCTTAGTATTCTCATTCAGTTCAATTAACCCAAAAGTTTGAAATTTTTATAAACTGACATGTATATATAATCTTGCATTAACCTCATTTTAAATACTTTAATGTATTAAGTACAAGAGCGTGTCATTTAATTTTCAGTGGAGTTCAAAATTGCACTTGGAAACATAAATCAATATTTCCCAGGCTTTTCTTACAATCTCCGACTTCATTTGTTACTAATATTGATACTTGCAAGCCCTCTCTGACCTGCTTATATTAGATTTTTATAACAGAGGATACTAAAATATATAAAAATTAGCAAAAAGATGAAACTGATTTAATATTACCCTATTATGGACGTGCCTGTCTGGATGGCACGACTACATCTTAATGCAGTTGCTTTTGTGAAGATTTTTGGAACATTTAATAATATTTTTATTTTATTTGAGATAAAGATGAGTTTCTGTTTATTGTAAAGTGCAAAATTATTAATATTTCATATATGTGTGACCCTCAAAGAGGATTTCATCCTACAGTTTATGAAAAACTGATTTAGATTAAAATGTTGGTTTCTCTTTCAGGTTTATAGATCTCAACATGCAGATGGCATTACAGGCCGAAGTCAGAGAGTACACATTCAGCTGTGGGATACAGCTGGACAGGAAAGGTAAAAGTTTGAGGTTTTTAATGAGGTAAACCTAATTAAACAGGTAAAGTTGAAAAAAATGGTAATCTGCTAAATTTTGTTTTTATTTTACTCCATTATAGAGAAATGGCAATTGAATTAATTAATGTCACATTATTAGTGTTTTTGATTATTCCAACAATTGGTTAACTAAAATTACCATTAAATTAATTGTCATGAAAATAATCAACTAGTTGAAATTGGGGTTTCTGATTATTACTATATTTAATTATTACAACTGTCTAAGTATGAAAATATCACAATTATGTTTATTTGTCATTAAGCACAAAGCTACATAATGGGCTACTTGTGTTTTGCCCAATTTTAGCCTTATCAATTTTTTTACTGGAAGTTTGTTCAGCTTTAGTGATTTGGAGGGGTGGGGGGATCATGAATCGAGGGTCTCTGGTTCCATTCTCATTGCCACCAAACTTGCTTGCTGTGTTTTTGTGCATGGTAAGGCTACCGAGTCTGTCTTTCACTGTCACTAATTTTGAACTGCTAGCAAGAATGAAAGCAACTGATAAGCAACACATGCCACAAACTTTATCTTTTTTTTTCTGGAAATGCTGACTATAGTGAAAGCAACTGGTTGGCAGCACCCACTGCCAGCTTTTTTTTCTGCTTGTATGCCCCATGGTTTGAGGAGCACTGTACTAACTGATTAAGTGAATATGTATGTTAGACAGTTACAATACACTTGTTCACATTTATGCTAACAATTGTAAACCTTTGTTCAATAGATTATGATATTTAAAAATATATTCCATAAATATATGTATATCAGAAAAAGTAATATGTTTAATACTATCACAAAGAGTAATTTACTAGTAGAAATACTGAGTGATGCTGTTTTCTTCCCAAATAGTGAAGTTCCTTGGACAGTCTTCACAAATGTTTCCAATACAATATCTTACCTCCTCTCACATAATAGCTTTCCTTGTTCAGTGCTGCACTCTATATGCACAACTTTTTTTGTTCACCACTAACCTTGAAACTCCCATCTACTCCATGTTTCTCAATGGTTCAGCTGTGTTGTAGCATGTAAATAAGCATGTGAAATCTCTCCACACTCCTGTTGCAGCTGGTTCCCTCTAAACCATAGAACCCAATATTCACTTCTTGATTTGGCACAGTATTGTTAAGACAGATTAACTTTCACTGGTGCTTTTACTTTAATTCACATTTATTGTTTTTCACACTGATGGTAAACCAACTTAGCTGTGTTTTTTTGGTGCAGTTTATAAAACAAATTTGTTATTTTTTTGCTTCTTTTTATACAATGACAATCTCACTGTAGTTTATTAATTTCAAACTTCATTCCACTTGAACATAAATTCTGAACTTTATTTCACTACCGTTACTTCTCTAGTGATGAATATTACAACATTTTAACCTGCTGTGTTCCACTTTGGACTGTGGAGATAGTGATTTTTTCAACAGAAAGAGGAGTCCATCATGCAGCTTGATGTTACTTCCAAGCCTAGTTCTGACATTTCATCATCTGGTTAATCTGGGTAAGATTCAGGAGATTTGGGTGAGGATTGTTTTTTCCACCTCCTACCTTGGCTGTGCAACCCTGATTTTCTGCCTGTGGATGCCCACAAGCCATCATTAGCATTCTTGGATATGGGGACACACGCATGTTCCTTTTATTGGTATCCCTCCTCATTTAGGCTCCAATCCTTGGTATACCTAGTTTTCCTTTTTTGTTCAGATATTCTGGTCCATGCTGACCAAATTTTCTGGTACAACTGCATTCAGTGGGGAGAACACCATGCCTCACCTCCCTCAGGCTTAGAATAATTGATTTTTCACATCTTCATGACATGTTTCTCCATACTTAGACTCCCAAAACTAGTGTCATGTATACTAGAATAAGGTTTGACCCTAATACTGTTTAGTTCAGGATAGACTTCTATGTCTTATGCCTGATCTCAAATGTTATATTGCCCGCATGGCTTCCCTCCATGGTTCCCCTTCCTGTTTATTTATCCATTGGAACTGTTCCTTTCTAAGTTATGTTTCACTCCCTACCCTCATAGGTTGGATTAGCCAACTTATTAGGCTGGTGTGTTCATCCTCTCGACTCCCTACAGGTATCATCACATCAGATTAGACATCTTACCTTTCACTGACTGCCCATCAACATTGTCATTTGGGAAAAATCATCCAGGCTGGCAGGTGGACTGCATCCAATATGTTCATCTCCCATTAGGCACATCGGGTAGTGGTTTTGTCCTCATCTGGATATTACATTATGCCTGTAGCCATACTACACACACCAGTTCAACTGTGAGTTGGTACGATTATTAATTTCTTCCTTTTTTTTTTTTTACAGGGTCATATTCCTCTTCTATGTAGGATCTCACTCTGTGGCAAGTAATACCTGTCCAGATGTACTTATTCTGATACAATATCTTACCTACCTTCACAAAATAGCTTTTCTCAACCTGCGCTGTCCTCTGTTGGTGCAAATTTTCAATGTATGCCACTAGCCTTCTACTTCACGCTAGTAGCTTGTGTTGAAAATTATTGCCGATAGAGAGCAGTGCTGGTTGAGAAAAGCTATTTTGTGAGCGGAGGTATGTGTCTATCAGAAATACATTTTCAGAGTAGGAAAATGCTTACTTCTTAAATCCACACTGTATGGCCAATCAGGTTAATAATACTTACCATTGAGATGAGGTGTTCTGCAAAACCACCAGTAGGTTTTTCCTTTCAGTATTTTGCATAATAAATATGTTCATCCTGGACTGTGCACACATGGACAGCATGAGTAAAACAGAAAGGGACTGTTACCCATCTCTGCCTCTATTTCAATTGCATAAATTAGGAATGGTTTGCTTTTTAAAATTGGATTTTGCAGTCACCCATTGCACTTTTAGACTCTCTAATGCACTATTCCCCCCTTCTTCCAGTGGAGTATGGGAGTCCTTACCACTTAACAGCTCCTAGCCACTGGGGTAATGGACTACGGGACTTTCTTCCAAGTGTGTTCAATCACACTCAGTTGAGAGTTGGGCAGTGGTGTTCTGCTGGTGTAGATGATGTGACTATCCTCCTACCATGGACCTGATGTACAATTCCAGGTGCTGCATAGTTTTGGACTGGATTTTTCTGCGAAGTGCAGTTCACCCCTCTGGCTGTGAACCCTCCTTTCTACCACCACCTGGATGTCAGTTCCCGGGCAACTGGTATTGACTGGAGCTGGACCAGCCAACATAAGTCCTTACATGTGAGTGAGCTGGGGCCCTCCTCCTACTGGGACTGGATGATACATTCCCAATGCTGCATAGTTTTGGAATGGAGTTGACCTTCCACCTTGCAGTCCACCTTCCTACCATCAGTTTCCAGGGGGATGGGTCTTGGTTGTGCTGGGTATGCATACATGATATCTTGGGTTCTTAAAATGGAAGTTATCCTTTTCTTCTGGTTCCCGAGTCTGAGGTGAAGATGGTAGAGGACCCTTCTCCTACCATGGTCTGGATGATCCATTCCCAGTACTACTGGTTTTGAACTGGAGTTGACCTCCTGATTATGATCTGACATGCCCTAGCCACTCTACACCATGTGCATGTCTGGCTGATGTTGGTTAAGGATCCTCCTACTACCGTGGACCAGGTGACTCATTTCCAGACACTGGTTTTTGACTGGAGTTGACCTCCTGTTTACAGTCTGGATAAAGATAATTAAGGACTCTCCTACTGTAGATGGGATGGTCCGTTCCCAGTTCCACTGGTTTTGAACTGAAGTTGACCTCCTGCCTACAGTCTGATGTACCCTATACCCATTATTGCTAGGGAATGTACAGCTAATTTTCGTATTTGCATCTTTGCTGCCCACTTAGCAACACATTCATTCATCGAAGGAGAAGAGTATACTTGGTTCAAATGTGGTGAAATTTCCCATGAATGTGTTCCTGTAAGAAGAGAAGTTACACTCAATGGGCGTTCTTCAGATGCTTTCCGAAAGGTGCTCGTCTAGTTAAATTTTGCATATCAGAAGCAATTATTTTCCTACACTGAAAATATATTTCTGATAGATACTTACCTCCATTCACACTTCCCACCCTTCCTCTCCACTTCTGGTGCTTCTTTTTTGCCTAATCTCAAAGTGAAGATTGGGTTCCACAATATAGAGGGAACCAGCTGCGATAGGAAAGTGTGTTGTGCTCATATTGGTAGAAGTTTGTTGCATGCTACAATACAGCTGAACCATGTAGAAATGTAGGGTAGGCTGGAGCTTCAAGGCTAGTGGTGAGCAAAAACATTTGCATTTATAGAAGGCAGCAATGGCTGAGAAAAGGTAAGCATCTGTTGGAAATATATTTTCAGTGTAGGAAAATATTAACATTTCATGATTATTGATAAAGATTTAGCTTAATAATCTTTGGCAGACTATCATCATCATTAAGACAGAAATTGGCTTCATCTTCAGGTTCTTGATCCCTTAAAATATCATAATCCTGCACTTAAAATGTTAGTTTGATTTGTCTTCTCAGGTTGAAGTCTTAGGGAAACTTCCTGAACTTTTCATTAATTAATCATTCCTTTTAGAAGAGTGCCATCAAAAATTACTGTTTTAAACTTTTTTGGGTTCTGAATTTGAAAATGCAGAAAACAGCAGGCATTCTAATTAACTGAGGTGTGGAGTTTTGAAGTTGCTAAACTTACCAATGCATTTCCAGCAAATTATTTTACTTTAGCAGAATATGTAAAGGAAGAATGACCATCATTAAAGTAAGGATTCTCACAATATTCACCATTAAATTTTTTTAAAAACAATGGTTAAAATGTACTGTATGATATCCCTCTGAGATATTTTATAAAAATATCCCAAAATGCTTTATCATTGAGGATACTTCAGGCAGTGTTGAAGTTTGGACGATTTCCTTCCACTATTAGTGTATTAACGAAATTGGCATGCCATATTTGGGCCTTTATATTTAAAGTTTGAATGAAGATAGTTTCTTTGTTTTATTTCTGAAATAAGATAAATAAATAATGTTTAAATGAGCTCTCACCATTCAGTTTTTTACTGTTCTGTCAAGCTCATGTTACTGCATTCATTGACTTGACAGATATGTTTTGTACAGAATAGCATGAATATCTGTTTCATTCTTCAACTGCTTAGGGTATGCAGTTATTGAATGTCTATGTCATGGAAGCAACTTGTGCATGTACACTTGACTTGTCTTTCTTTCCAGATGGAGATCTTGATTGTTTTGCATACTATTGCCTTGGGCATATGTACGGCTTTTGCCACTGATTTTATGGTCATGGAATTTCACCTTTTATGAAATGCCACACTTTGCTTACCACAGCTGGGGTATGACTTGTTGCAGTTTCTTTCTGGATAATCTTGGTGCCCCAAGTTCATGCAAATTCTGTTGTTTACACTGCCACAAATATAACAGATGTCCCTGTCATGGAAATTCTAAATCGTTGATCTGAATACAAACTTATGATCTGAGTGTATGAATATTTTGCATTATAAAAGGCTGTTACATACCTTTCCCCAAAGGCACCAATTTTCAGTTGCATCAAATGTAGTTTTCATACACCATGATTTTGTAATGGCTGTGGTTGTTATGTGACCTTTTATAATCTGCATATTCAAAATTGTATTTATGTATTGTACTCAACCCTCTGTAGTTTGATGCTTTTTGTAAACATCTTAGTTTGAAAAGTTGTAATTTATTATATTATTTACTTAAATCTAATAAATGTTATATTTTATGATCTGTTACTCTGTTTCTCTACACTTTATTTTTTGCTGCACTTAATTTTTTGGTACTTCTAAAATCAGTCTGCTGTGTTTAGTTAGCTCCGTAATTTCCACAGTGTAGGTAATTTGAAATAATTGTGTTTACTGCAATTAATAAGTGAGGAAAAAAAATGCATGAATTTGTCTTTTAAATGATAGTTTGATGTCATTGGATTGATATAGTAAGTAATCTTACTGTAATACTCAAATTTTTTGAAAGCATTAAAAACACTAAGTAGGTGAGTGTTATTGTAAAATATGTATAATTATGTGAAACAATATCTATCTACATACATAAGAAAACACTGGAATATCATAGTTTTTCGTTCTTTTATTAATTTCCTCTTTCCTTTCCCTCTGGATTTTCTCTGTCTTTCTTTAATTGTTCTGTAAACCACATTTCCTTTTGTTTCCATTTTTCATCACTTCTCCTCTCTTACATTCTACGTAAATCATTACATTATTCTGATTATATATATATATAGATAGGTAGATAGATATCGATACATTTCCAAGCTTCAATTCAATAACATGCTTTTAAAATCTGTTATAAATTTTATGTTAAATAGTTGTGTAAAATAATATCTAGGTTCAGAAGCTTGACAACAGCATTTTTTCGAGACTCCATGGGATTTTTACTCTTGTTTGATCTCACCAATGAGCAGTCATTCCTGAATATTAGAAACTGGTTGGATCAGTTGCGTACCCATGCCTACTGTGAGAACCCAGATGTAATTCTTTGTGGAAACAAAGCTGATCTAGAAGAAGAAAGAGTTGTTTCTGAAGAAAGAGCCAAGCAAGAAGCAGAAAAATATGAGTAGGTTGATTCTATTTCCTCAGAATAAACAAATGTTCTTGATATGTATGGTGTTACTTAAAAATTTAATTGCAAGTAACTGATAAGAAATATCTCTTTTGCACTTAAGTATACAGTAGTGAGACTTAATCTTCTTTATATGTAGCCTATAGTGAACAAAATAACTTTCAAGGCAGAACTTAATGTTCATACATGCAGCTTTGCATTGTAAAACAAAGCTACCAGAATTGCTTTTTGTGCAGTGCATTTGAATTTTACATATCTGAACACTCATTAAACTTGTTTAATAAAAAGTTAAGGAGAAGCTACAATTTCCTAAAACTTCATAATGTTTGAAAGAAAAAGGATTAAAACTACTAAGTTTTAAAGATAGGAATTTTTAGGTTATGGTAATTAATATTTTTATTAATTGTTTAACTTTATGCTCTTCTGTAAGTAGCATATTTTCATTTAATTTGAAAACTTTTAATGTTAGGTTTTGTAAGTGACAAAGTTATGATCCCAATTGTTTCTATTCTCTTGACATTTTCTTTTCTGGATATTTTGTAATCATTATTTATGTTTATGTTTTTAGTTTCTTTGATATATTGTTAATGTGTTTTACTGTTATATTTACACAAGAGAGCAGTAATTATCAACAGAACTATTTTTTGTTTTTCAAAACTTATAATTTTTTTTTCCATGCCAAATAATTTGCTGCAGGTTTTGAAGGATGTTATATATATCTCTGTAATTCCCTTCAGCTTAGTGTCATTATACTGGCTACTTCTATATTTACATTCATAAAAAATTGATAAATTTTAAATGTCATAATATGTGAAAAATAAATACAAAACATAAAGCCTAACTATATAATATTTTTCAACCTAAACTAATTTCTTCTTTTAATAAAAACCAATACATGATATAAGACTTGTATCGTAAATTATAACCCTTGACCTGAAAGTGAGGTTTAATACTTGAATACTAGAACATTATGTATTGTTGAAAGTAAGATAGGTAGATACTATCAGTCTTATTCTTGTCTCGTTTATGAAATATACATCATTACTCTTTCTAAAAATGATGTATCGACATTTTATAAAGAAACCCAGCCAACTTCTGCACTTTGAATTACAGGCAGCAGTTTTTATAAAACAAAAGAGAACTTTCAAAGTAATTATGTCTACAAAGTAAACAAATGAACATGGGAACAGTTAATATATTGTCTTTATATAGCATACGAAACCATAATATACAACTGAAAATATCATTAGCAGTGAGGATACTCAACTGATGAAACAATGCATTCCACCATTTTTAACTAAGAATATAAGAAAAGCATTAATCCTGAACTGAAAAATTAATTAAAAAAATACAATAACAGCAACTTTTACAGTAGGCAAGTTCTAATTTTAATGACTACAACATTTTGGCCCGTAGTATCAGGTTGTCAACAGGGAAAAAATACATTCTAAAATTATATTCATTAGGAACAAAAACTGAAATTCATGTTAGAAATTTTAACTTTCTTTAAATTTCTTAATCTAAAATACATGTTAACAACATATATATCAAAACAAAATTCTAAATATGACAATTTCCATTACAGTTTTATGTGATATGAGAGTCTAGATCAGACAGAATTGTTCTAAAACATAATGATGTCATATACCTTTGTATAAATATATAACGAAGAGATACCAGGCTGGAAGGAATTAATTCATAATGAATTTTATTTTTTGTTAATGAATATCTTTTACACTTTTTACACTCTGGTAAATTTGTGAAATTTAAGTTAATCAGACCATAAATGTTGTAAAATTTATTATAAAAAATTCTTCCATATCAATATATACATAAAAAAATAATAATATAGTTTTGTTTTTGATAACTTAGAGCCATCTTATATTAATGTTGATCATGTCTAAATCAATGAATTAGATTCAGTAGGATTTTGCTGTTTGCATCTAAGCAGATTAACGTGTGAAATCAGCTGAACTAACAACAAGAAAAATGTGTTGTTGTTTTTTTGCAGCTAGCGTATGTATAAAACAAAATTTCACAATTGGTTGAAATTTCTTCAGATTTTGTTCTTCAATAGTCTTATGTTAAAAAAACGGTTTAAAAAAGTGAATAATTTTCATTATATTCAATAAAGCATTGTAGTTAACACATTTTTAAAATCTGAAACAAAACATAATTCATAACAGAACAATTACCAACAAAAATTAAAAATTGGCTTTGTATTGCAAAAATAAATTGAACTACTACATTAAAAACGTATATTCTATGTGTCAAACATTGGTACACCATACAGCTATTATATTTCATAGTTCAGCTTCACCTGTGTGTATGAGACTAATGTGTATAAGGTACCGAAGAGTAACATGTGCCTAACATAGTAATTTTCAGTTAGAAATGTATAAAAATGTCTGGTACATGAATTTCAAGAAAACTATATAAAATAAACTTGTTTCATTTGCACTTAACGTACAGTAATGCTAATAAAATACCACATCTAGCTTATAAATAAATTTATTAAGGGTACATTCATTTATTTTTTATTCTTCCTGTCTTTATCGGATAGACTTACCTATTTTGAAACTAGTGCTTCCACAGGCCAGAATGTTACAAAAGCTGTTGAATTCCTTCTTGATCTTGTGATGACTCGCATACGAGAAACAGTGGACAACACCAACTTCCCAGGTAGAAAAAGAGCTGCTCCTGGTGTTCACATTGAGTCAGATGAGGGGGATGGTCAGAGTAAAAACAGTTGTGGCTGCTGATTATGTGTGTTTTTGCACTGGTGTCAAAAGTATTAGCACGCAAATGAAAAATCCATTTACTAATGGTGGTAATCAACAGGGTTATTGGTGATGGTATTAAAACTAGTCATGATTTTAGTGTTTGGTGTCCCATTTGTTATCTAATGCTTACTAGTCAATCACAGACTAAATATAGTGTCAATATTTCTGATAACTAGTTATGAAATTAAAATTTCACTTCATGATATGTTGTTCTTATTGTTAAGGATTTGTACACTAGGAATTAAGTTGTTGTTATGATTAAGTTGAAAGTTTTGAAATTTTTATGAAAATATATATTTTTATTATAAGATAATTCAAACATTTCTCAAATGTATTTTGTTTTTAAATGAGAGGCATACAAAGAAAACATTCTGTGCACAAGAGCTTTTTACAACACGTGTTCAGTCGAACCAGATATTTTCATCTAGTATTGTATGATTATTGAAGACTATCAGGTGATAAAGAAATTAATAAACAAAATTGATATAAAATATTTATATATATATATATATTTTTACTACCAGCATTCTCATTTGAACAGTAAATTTGAAGATGATTTTTTATACCATTAAAACAACTTGCTTAGTTGAAATTCATGTACAAAGTCTTCCTGTTTGTTTCTTCTGAAAGTACAAAATTTAAAACTATTGATAATTACAACTTCTATTGTAATCTTTTAGTCTGGTGCATTTATGTAGATGGTTAATTTTCGGTTTACAGAGGTATCATTTGAATAAAAGAAAAAGGCTGTTTTTGAAATAGTTTGAGATTTTTTTGGTAATTCTACACCAAAAAATAGATTTAAATTAAATGCAGGTCTTAAAACAATAAATTTTTAGGAGTACTCTAGCCTGCTTTAGAATATATATAAAAAGAGAAGGTAAATACAAAAAATATTTCCTTTCAATATAGATAAATATTAGATAAAATAAATTGGTAAAACAGAAGTTATTTCCATTATTGTCTTCATTCATATCCTGCATTTCTTTTATACTATAAAAGAAACTTCAAGTTTGCTCTTTCACATTCATTGATTTTTGGATCTTTATAAATGTTATTTGCTATGATATTACTTTACAAATTTCCTGGATTTGTTTCTAGAACATATTAATTGTAAGTAAGAAAACTTAATATTATATCAATCATGCAGTTGATATTGTTGTATTAATTTTATTTAAGAAGTCAAAGATTAATAAGATTAATGACTTGATGTGAAATAGGTTTTAAAAAGTTGTAGTTGAACATTTATTGTCTTGTTTTAATAGAACATGTATAAATCTATTAATATGATTCTTCTTCATGTACTTGTGTGTATCCTGTAGTGATTGCTTTGTAGCCAGACTTTTTTTGTGTATTTTAACTGTGCATTATTGATTGGTGCAAAACTGGGCTGTATTGTGTAATTGCTTCAAAAGTCCTGCATTTATTTCAAGTCAGCTGCATGTCATACATATGAGAATTGTTTTTCATTGCCATTACAGTTGTAATAACTTCTGAAATCAAGCTCAGTTGATTATAAAACATCTAGGTGTGTTTTCACATTTAAACCTAGTAAGAAAAATTTCTAACAATTTTGAAAAAAAGTTCACCTCCAAATTTTTCATTTCATTTTTTAATTGAATATTTTTAGTTATATATATATTTTTAAACAGATTAAAATGAAGCTAAACTAATTAACTCACAGGTCTAACAAGCATTTATACTATCTCATCACATTCAGTTGACCAAATTATCTATTTCTTCTTGACATTCTATCTTAGAGTTATATTTAAATAATGATTTTTTTTATTCCATGTGCATTTATTATAGATATTTACTATACAAATCATGAATAGTATTAAGCCTTTAAACCATGTTTTTATGAATAATTATTTGTATTATTATTTTTTGTTTTTGAAAAGGACAAATTGAAGGCAAAAAGCTTAAGAATTCCTTTGTTTAGTTTAGACAAGTGTACAAGTCTTGTTATTTTATGTGGCCAGTATATGTTTTTGATTTGATATCTGGGTACTCTGAGTTAACCCTCAGATAACCAAAATTGAGGGTCAGCTTTGTCTGCACTCAAATATTTTTCTTTGTTCTATGTTGTTTTTAATTTTACTTTTTATTGTTCTAAGCCATCATGTAAGTGCATAAGGAAACTGTAGTTTTAGCTATAGTATGTTCAGATGTTTGTTGGTCAAAGAGAGATGGTTAGTTATGTGTTTTTATACGTATCTGTATGTAAGTTTAATATATGACTGTACGCGTGCTAATTCTTTATTTCCTGCTTGTGTTTGATTAAACAACTGTTAACATAAAGAATTCCTTCAGAGTTTTTCTTTGAAGTCAGAATGAAGCTCTATGGTATGTGGGATAATGTTCGTCTGTTGTAGAGTTGAAAAAGTATCTAATTGATGTACTTATTATGATTTGTTTTGTGATTTCTAAGCAAGCACTTAGCATCTAAGAAGTCAGTAGAATTCTCATGAAACTTAAAATTTAAATGTATTTTCAATTTTTTTTTTTGTTTCTTATTAGTATTTAGAATATGTGAACGCAACATATTGTAATCACTGTTATTGTCCTAGAAAGGCTGGCTAGTGCTTTTTTTAATATTGTCTTATTTTGTACTATATTACACCTCACTTCACTTTATATAATAAGAACTAACTTTAATTTTGTGTCTAGAAAAGTACATAGAATGCTAGTATGCTCATAATAACAGAATTATCTCTACTTCCACCAATGGATGAAATTAATTGGGTCTCTTTTTTTGTAACTTCATCGAAAACAATAGGTGTAGTAATGTGCAAAAGGAGTAGATTTATGTTAGTGTCCAGGGTCACTTAAATCATAAACGTGTCACATACTGTTACTTTACTCTGTGTCAGAGTAATTGTGTTTTAATCAGTAGTCACTTTTTTATGAAGTGAAAAATTGTAGTTTTACTACAGTGTTACAAGGCACAAGAGAAAAACCTTCTGCTGAAATCTCATGCCTAATATTATCATTGAGATGCAGTATTTTTATTGTAACATTGTTTATTACTTGTTCCAAATGTTGTCAAGATTTTTAATATTGTATGTGTTAAGTCATCCTAAAGATATAAATGTTATTTTAAAGCTGGTATTATTAGAGAGATGGTAAAGGGTATTTTTCAAAGATTACTGAACTGTTGATAATTACCACAAGAAACCACCAAATTTATGGTACATTGTTATTTAGATTAATGTTTTCTTACTAAAAAGCATCTTCATGAGACTTTGAACTATTTAATTACACATTCTTAGAAACATTTGTTTTTGTTTGTATTTCTCAAGCATTAAGTTTCAAGTAACACTCTTCAAATGAATTTATCTGTATACTATGACGACTCTATATATGTGTCTTCTGATTTTGACTCCTTGATAATCCTATTATATTCTGAATACACTATATTTTTATATATATTATTGGATGTTTAAAATTGATGATAAGGTACCAGAAAACCAAATGGTACTTTTTATGTAGAGTAGCAAGTTTTATAGTTTCTAAACTTATATTAAACTAACCAGATGTTTCTGCCTGGGTTTTAGTAAACTGGTGTAATTATCATAAAATATTATCCCATTTGATAAAATAGTAGTCTTGCTTAAGTACTTGAAACTGTAATTTGTCCAGTTTACCTTAAGCCTACTAATCAGTGTTGTAGCACTCTCTCTAAATGTAAACAGTAGTGTTCATGTGAAAATGTGGTGTGATATCTACCATACCATAGATTGCTGCTCATATTTGAGTGAAACAAAATCACTAGAAGGTGCTTCATAGATTGTTTCATTTTAAAATTATGTATTTTTAAGACAGATTTTTAGAAACAGTTCAGAAAAACTATCTCTAATGAATAACTTCTCTTATGATATTTTAGCAAATATTTCTTTGCAAAGTGAACTACAATCAGTGACTTTCACAAGGCTAACAATAAAAAATATTTTAATACCATTTACTACTAAAATAAAAGATTCACAATGAAAGTGAATTTCAGTGTAAACTACAGCATGTACACACACATAAATCTACAATGTCTTGGTATTAGTTAGTCATTGTTGATTAGAGTAAGCCTTATTAGAACACACACACAAATCTACAATGTCTTGGTATTAGTTAGTTATTGTTGATTAGAGTAAGCCTTGTTAGAACACACACACAAATCTACAATGTCTTGGTATTAGTTAGTCATTGTTGATTAGAGTAAGCCTTGTTAGAACACACACACAAATCTACAATGTCTTGGTATTAGTTAGTCATTGTTGATTAGAGTAAGCCTTGTTAGAACACACACACAAATCTACAATGTCTTGGTATTAGTTAGTCATTGTTGATTAGAGTAAGCCTTCTTAGAACTGTTATTACTAAGTGTTGTTGTGCTTATTTCTCCTAATTCGTTTCATTCACATTTCAAGAAACAATTGCTATCTTGAAATCTTTGCTTTGGCAGATCCTTAACCTGTATTTGAGTTGAAATGCTATAGTAACCACACCTGAAACCTTACAATATCCATTGAGTTGCTGAGATATAATGTCAGGGTTTTAATTATGAGCACAGTACAGATACCCCATTGCATAGTTTTGTGGTTAATAAAAAAACTGTCTTTAACTGCTGGGTCAACAACATAGTTGTAGTAAATGTGTAACTTAAGTGGAAAAATAATTTCAGAAAAGTAATTTATTTTTCAGCTGAGTAATTGAAATTTCTTATTTATGGTAAGCAGCTACAGTACCAGGTGCTTATAATAGTTAATATTTACACTTCCTTGTTATATCAAAACAAAAAATATGCTTTTATTTTTCTGCAACAATTGTTGCAGAAAAATAATAATGTTCTACACAAATTACTTTTTAACATAACATTATGTCTCACATGAAGCCATGAGCTTCATATAAGGCATAAAAACACCAAAGTGTTAGTACATTTGCACATTTTAATATATTTGGAGTGAAATATAGTATATGCATATTGTCTAGTTAAGTGTGTTTGTCAGAAAGATTAAAGGAAGATCAAACTGATTAATAGCAGTGTATTTGTACACAGTATACTAAAGAGATTACATTTTCTCTGACATATGTAAGTGCACAATTTAATCAGGATGCTGTTTGTTTCTTTTTTTTTACCATATTCCTGTCATTTTGATATTTACCAAAAGTGTTAAATTATGTGATCTATTTTTTAATGTGTTATGAATTTCTAAAATGCTTAATTCATTATTTAGGGCATTTGTAGCATAAAATCCAGAAAATAAATCTCTATATGTAGTAATATTGTAAATGTATAAAATCAAGTTCTTTTTTTTTACCTTTATTGCATGAACACTGCAAGGAAAGAATTAGTGTGACAAGTTCCCACTAATACTTTCATCATGTCTGTTACAGTTAATTGATTTATTAAGCTGTTATTCACAAAATCATGAATTTTTGGTTATTTTAAAGAATTTTTTTGGTTTTAGATTTAACAATTACATTCTAGATTTGAAATTTATTGTATGCCTAAAACATCCTGTAAAGTTATTTCCAAGTTAAACAATATTAGTCTCTTCTGAAAACACAGAAACAGAAGAATTGTACAATTTCATAATTTCACACATTTTCAATCACCTGTATTCTTGTTTATTTCAATACTATTTTCATATAGCATTTTGTAGAAAGGATCTTAAAAGTTCAATACTGCACAACTGTATATGATTTTTCAGAAGCAAAATGTGTGTATGATTATTCTTTATATTTGAAATATGATCAATATTGTAACCAAAACTTCTCTATTCCTGGAATGTACTGATCAATGCTTGTATGATAACACTTACCTTTATTTGTATGATTGTGGTGTGAGACATGAAAGTTTTTATTTGCATTAGACTTTCTTGTCTACATTAAAATATTTTTTGTTAAGTATTTTTGGTTTATTTACATATACAGGTGAAATAAGCAATACAATTTTTGTATATTACAGATAATACATTTAAAGTTAAATTTACTTTAAAAGGCATGAGTATTTATATTAATAATTGAACTGCATAGTGTAACTGACAATAAATATTCAAAACCACCATGAAACTCTGATCTGAAAAGAAATAAAAAGCAGTCTTATGTTTTTCAACTAATGCCGTCAAATAGTTGAAACAACATCATTTATCAATATTCTACCCTGTATACATTTTAAAAATATGTGCATGTATACATTTTGTACAGTAATTGAGTAACCTAATTAAACTAAGGCTCGTTTTATTCTTTGCTGATTGAACTTTGTATAGAATCTGTTTACTGTAGATGATGAGGAACATAGATATAAAAGAAAAATACAGTTGGTGCTGCTAGTAGGGATTTACTGGCAAGAAAGGAAAATGTGAATCACATGAAGTTATAGTTGTTTTAATGAATAGATAAATGTAAGTAAGCTTGAGGAAGAGTAATGATTGTGTGGGGAAAATGGAATTTTCATGTTGGTCAGTGTGTGATAGAGTTTTGATGGCTGGGTAGGAACAGAAACCAGGGTGGTCACATGCCCACTCGTATGGATAACCGTGATAAAACTAAAATAGAGAAATGCGGACACAATTTTTTTTCACAGTTTATTCATATTGTGAAAGCAGTGTGCTTTATAACTTTAACCGCCATCGTGTTACTATCCATATTACTGGATTGTAAAACAACTCTACAGAATTATCCTGTATTTCAAATGAAAATATCGTAAGAAATTTAGTGTGATATGTTATGTAGCGGTAATATAAAAGGTTTTTTTTTTTTTCTCTTCTATTCCAACTGTTGTTCATAATGTTTATATTTGAAATTTAAAGGTACCCAGAAATTACTGTAACAAATTTATGAGCATTATTTGTGAAATAATTATATTGATCAACTTCTCGGTAACAATATTCGGCGCCTTTTTTTTAAACTAAAATTTTCTAAATTTTTTGTGATACATCCGCCATTACCACGATATTACGATTGTTCCGTGAGAGGAGAAATAAAAATGGTTATGGTTATAACAGACAGTTTGTACAAAAGTTTTGTTACGTTATTTTTATTCATAAAGTTTTCTTTACCAGGGAAGTTGTTTTCATTATAATCATTAAGATAAAAGCATAAAGTGTTAAAAGTACATTTTGTGCTGATGCGTATCACAGCTTAGTTTAAATATGCGTGGTATCTTGTCAAAATGAATCTGTTACTAAATGTGGGTTCTTGCTCAAACATAACACTGATAGGATAATAAACTTAAAATAAGACTCAAAACTCGAGCGCTTTCGAATAGTTGACTATTCTTCTCCTTTGTTCTCCTAAAGAATAATAGTCAACTATTCGGAAAGCGCTCGAGTTTTGGGTCTTATTTTAAGTTTATTACACTTTATATGGATTTCAATGCATAGTGATACTCAGAGTTTACTATTTAGATTATTAGTGCTATTAAAGTGGTAAACAGGTTTTTTAACTCTAGCTTACAGGTAATTTCCCTGAAAGGGTGTCAAAGGCTGCCTGAAGGGGTCATCAGTTTTAACCACTTGCACCACTATACAGTAGTGTGTTGTCTTTCAGTCAGTAGACACTAAAATGACATCACATAAGGGATGCTTAACAATGCAATTTGTACTGTTGTGATGTTAGTAAAATGTGCAGATGTCATGAATCATGAAAAGAATTATGCACTCTGAAGGCTATAGGAGAGCATGACATATGAACTTCAAAAGCAAGAAATAAAAATATTTGTTACTCTTAATTTTGGTTTTATTTACCCTTGAAACAGAACACTTTCGGTGAATCCTGTGGAAGTACATCTAGTAATATAGTGGTACAAAAGAGTTTGTAATCTAGTTTATAAGTAATAATATAGTGATACTCAGAATATATTATCTCAATTATAAGTAATAATAAAGTGGTATACAAGAATTTATTAACTAATTTATGAGTAATGATATAGTGATATTGAGTTTATCTAGATACTCATAGTAATCTTTATTGCATGTTGTATAGTTTTAAAAATGCTGTTTTTATTTTTCTGTTCCTGACTCACATTGTTTTTCTTTTTCCACAGCCCAAGAAATTGCATCAGATTATTCACAACAAACCATAAATCTTTTATTAGCTATATTGTGTCCTGTTGTTGTATTGATACTTATACTTGGGATTATTATCTTAATAATGAGAAAATTACACAAACGACAAATGGCTGCTCTGCTGAGTCGTGACACTGATCATTTTTATCAAGATGATTTACGAATAACTGCTGCTGGAGACAGTACATTAAGAGTAAGTTATGGTACATTGAATACATCTAAATTAAAAATGTATAAAAAAATATTTTATATGGTTTATGTGTCTTATAAATTTATTGATACATTTTTGTTATTCCATTAATCAATTAATATTAGATATAAGAAGGTTTTTTTTTTCCTTTCATGGATAATTTTATTATGTTTAACCCTTGTAAATGATTTTTAAACTGTTATTGGAAGACCATGATGGAACTTTCCATGTTATAATTCCTTTTGAAATCCTCAGGTGAATAAAGTAATAATTTGAAGCTTGTATTAACTTTTAATTTCAAATGTTGATATACACTGCCTTTGATATACTGTTGCTATAAGCCTCTCTCTTTTAATTCTTCCTTTCATCATACATAGCTCTAAATTAATGCTAACAAAATAGCAAATTGCTTGTTAGTGTTCCATTTTTGCTAGTAAAATGTAGAAGACACCAGAAAAAATATATAATACTCATTTCAGAAGGACAGTTACAGATTTTTTACCACAGAGTATCAATGCATGATTGCACTCACTGGTACATGTATGAGATCAGTAACTTTCCATTTTGCCAGTAGAAAGTGTTTGTTTATTTAATTCATGTCAGAAGAACATCTCCTTAATGTATTTGTCTGGGTCAGACTTTTTACTTTTTCAACATTTCTGAAGACTTGTTTTTTTTTTCCTTCTCATGTCTTGCTTGTATTAATAGCTACCATGAAAAAAAAAAGTTTTCTTTTATGCAGTTTTAATTCTAAACAAAGTCTGTTTTGGTAAATAATGTTTTCCGTGGCACCCATCAGTTGTTATTCATATTATGTAATGATGTTAAATCTGAAAAACTTTTCACCCACAACCTTCATGTGTTTGCTCAAAATCCTCAAATCTGGTACAGGTTCTATTTATCATGCCTTGACTTCTATCACCTCTCATCTGGGCACATCTTTTGTGGCTGCTGATCATAGGTCTCAAAGGGCTTTGGACCTTCATCTCCTTACCTGCTCCACATTATTCTGTTTTTCTCTGCTGTGTTCATCCCATCTCCTATAGTTGTTCTGGATATCTTTTGGAAGGTTTGACTTCAGGTTGAGTTTACACTTCTACTCTATGGTTTCTGTCATTTCTTTGGTTTCCTGTGTGAATGCTCCTTGATGGGACTTCCTTTTACTCTCATGGATTCTGCCTTTGTAGCTAGACATTGTCTTAGCAAATAATTATTTCATAGAACAAGAATGTATGCAATTGCTTCCCTTCTTTATGCACAGAAGACCTTTGTTAATGGTTGTTTAGAGGTTTCATCCTGATAAGTATCCCTAAGTATCCATTGCACAAGTCCACTAAGTTTTAGAGGTCTGAATTTGTCCCTGAACATGTTCCAGTATTTATTATTCTTAATTACAAATCTCATAAATTTTTAGAATTCCAAGGCTCATAAATATTTCTAAGCTACTTGTTTCTTGTAAGAATTACACATTCACTTCACATAACTACATAGCTACCCATTAGCCTTTGGGGAAGGTTTTAATTACTTATCTCCTACAGTCAAATTTCCACTATGACTTTTTTCTACTCTTCCTATGCTACCTCCTATTTCATTTAAAACCATTTCCTCATTCCCAATGTTGGATTCCAGCTACATTTATTTTATCAGCATAAAATATATGAAAAGTATAATATAGTCCATTAAACACACCCACTTGTGACAGAAAGAAGTGACATGAAAGAGAGGGGTTTATCTTTAAGTATTAGCTAACTGTTTTTGCAGAGTAAGTAGCTACTTATGCATATTATTACATTTGATTCTTTTATTCAGTTTTATTTTCATTTATTTCAATGTTTAATAAAAAATATGACATTTTGGATATAAGAGTTACAATAAGTCTTAAGACATTTTCCTACCATAAGAAAATACAAGTTGTGCATCTGTTATGAAATAAATTTAAAGTTAAAATTATATTCAAAATTAAAAAAGTAAAAATATTTTAATCATATTATTTGATAGGTTTGATAATCCTATTATCTTGTGTTTAGGAGGTTTTTGAGCATTCTGTCACATCTGGAAGTGGGTCAGGAATGCCCTTGTTGATTCAACGAACCTTAGCAAAACAAATACACTTAAATGAATGTATTGGTAAGTTGAATAGCTAAGCACAGGCATTATTTGATTTAATTCCAATTTGTATAGTCATTTAAATTATTAAAATCATGCTAACTCCTTTAATGTTTCTGTTATGAAACTTTGATACTTGACTCTAATATGCTATTTTAAAGTTGTAGTATCATAATTGGTATTACGTTATTTATTTGAATTTTATTTTTTTATTTACAGATCTGATTAAAAGTAGATAGTAATTATTATAAATATTTTTTATAACACATTTTGTAATGAAAATATACTGACCTCTGTTATAAGTCTTAAGTATATATCCTTTTGGGATTGAAAGAATTGAATATGGTGACTTCTAATAGTAGTCTGTACGATTATATTTTATCTTTTATGGTTTATTATACTTGCTGTTATTGTTAGATCTCATCTGTTAATCAGCTGATTTTTGAACAGAGAAAGCATTCATCATTTGCTTCAGTTATTTATTTAAAGACATTAATTTGATTGGATAACTGTCAAATAGGTTCTGTTTAAAAATGCTTAATTTTATTCTTATCTTCATATTTGCATGTGCAATTATTGAGTTATCTAGCAGTTGATCCAGTTTAGTTTAATGAACAACTAAAACATATAAGTTGATATAAGCAATGCATGTGAACTGTGAAAGGTTAAATATATTATAATATATTGATTATTGTGTGATATACTTTTTAAAACAATGACATTTTATTTTTTTGGTCTAGTTAAGGAAAATATAGGTGTTATTTTTTTTTCAAAG